AATTTTCACTATTTATCGTACGTGTGAATAGCGATTCTCGGGTTGTTTTTTCGGGGGTTATTTCCCCCCCTTGCGACGGTCACCTTGCCATTCGATAACAGCAAAGGAAAGAGTTTTCTTATCAAGAAAGGAGGGAAGGAGAGAGACAGAGAGAGAGGGAAGGGGAGAGAGAGAGAGAGAGAGAGAGAGAGAGAGAGAGAGAGAGGAGGGGGGGCGAGAGAGAGAGAGAGAGAGAGAGAGAGAGAGAGAGAGAGAGAGAGAGAACATGCTTCGAACATATGCAGCCAGAAAAAATGTTTATCACTCCCTCCCCCTCTAGTGCTTGGCCGCGCGATCGAGTGCATACATCTTCATTCCGCAATTTTGGCAGAATCGCCGATTAACCTCCATTCCTCAACCCAGAAGATGCATTCGACTGGTCCCCACACAATCACCATCAACAGAGTCTCACACCTGATAGCCTACCTGTCTGGTGAATCATGTGCAGTGAACAGCTGCTGTGTCTGTTCAACTTTACAGTGAGAGCTAACCTTTCTGCAGAGTAATGTAGACTGACAATATAGATCTGTCAGTGTCGAATCAGTAATAACAGCAGATTTGTCTGCCGACTATTCAATTACCAATATAGATAAAAAGCATAGTTGCGTCGCACGTCGGTGCGCCGGTTTGCGCACGTCGCGCCGCGCACCGCACAGCGCACCGAAGCGCAGCACACTTGCAAAATTAGGTCCAAAAAAAAAAAGAAAAAAAGTAGGGGTTTTCTAATTTCTTGAAGCCCCCAACTCGGCAAAAATGTTAAACTCACCGCGCAAGTTCACAAACCGCTCGCGCCCGCGGCCCGAACTTTTCTTTTGGGTAAGGGCTGCTGAAAATCCGATTTGCGCAGGCCCTTCCCCAAAAAGTTTCGAATGGCGAGGCACAAAATAGGGCTCATTCCAACTTTTGTTTTAGGCGAGGATTCTGCAAATCGACGTTTCCACAGTTTGGGTACTGGACGTATTATCGAGGCACGGTCTTTCGATATTAAGGAAATGTTTAGTAGACTGCCACATGATGATATTCGCCGAGCTGTTGATTGGCTTGTGTCTTTCCATTTGAGTAAACATCATCATTTTGTTTGTGTTAACACGCGGGGGAAGGGAGCCAGTTTTGGGAGTACGACGGGTGGTGATCATTGGAGAAAATTGGATTTACAGGAATTGAAGAAATTGGTGTTTACAGATATGGCACACACATACTTTTTTGCTACAGGGGTATTGCTGAAGCAGGAACTGGGCATCCCTATGGGGAAGAGCACCAGTCCACCTTTGGCATGTATTTTGTGTGCCTATTCGGAGTACACCTTCTTGTGTACTTTAGGGAATTCCGCTAAGTTTGTCTTCGCCACTCGACTGATCGATGACGTTATCCTTGCAGTTTCTCGCAAGAAGGACAGCTGTTGTGACAGTATCTGGCGCAATTTTGATCATTGCTACCCGCCTAACCTGCTACTGAAACGAACTGATGATTCCACCGGCACCTTTGAATTCTTGGGTTGTGAGATCAAGACCTCACAAAGTTACCCGTATTTGGGCTGCATTCAAACTTCCAAGAACGATGACTGTGTGTGGACCGCTGATCAGTTGAAGATACAAAATGGCCAATCCTTTTTCTCATGGGGATGTAAACGCCAGAAGAGCGCAATCATCGGCAGTTACTTGCATCGTATTGACAAAAATACGTCTATTTGTTCAGAAATCCCAACAAGGGTTTTGACTCTGCAACAGGAGCTTGCACTAAAGGACTTCCCCAAGGAATTTATCAAGCGTTCTAAAGAGATTTTCCGTGCAACGAGGAGACATCTGGGAATTCACATATCGATTTCTGTCGTGACTCAATTTGTTTTGCCTCATGGTATGTTCAGGCTTGTTCGGATAGGGCCTTTTTGACAGGGTCTGTGTGATGGTTTTTGCTTTGTTAGGAATAAGTTTTTTTTCCCTTTCTTTCTTTTCTTTCTTTTTAAGTCGATGTACTAATGACTTAGTGGTCCTTTGAGACTGTCACGGGTTCGATCCTTTAACTGGCCTTTTGTCCCAGTCAATACTTCGTCTCGAACCGGGACATGCTGGGAATAGCCCCGCTATTCAGATAGGCACGTTTATTTTGTTGCTTGGATAGCCAACGGCGGGACTTGGATTTTTTCAATAATAGATTCGAACTCGTGATCTTTTGGAGTAGCCCATAGCCCCCTTCACATGTCTTATCTTGTTGCTTGGATAGCCGACTATGGGTGTTGTGACCAGTACCTGTCTGGTAATGCATTGGTACCGACTTTTTAGATCTAAACATTGGATCTGCCGCGAGTACTATAGAACCGGTTTTGCTTCTAGTATTTTGGCCGATGTTTCCGGAAGTTTTTCTGATGCTTGGTAGTTACAGGGTATTAATACGTAGATGTTTAGTGAGGACGACCTCTCAGGTCTTACGACCGGCACGACTGCTACTGTCCGGACGATAGCAGCCCATGCCGGCGGAAGTTGGTCTTGGGAATGACGGTGGTTTTCTGGGGTTGAGGACGATATGGTGGATACCTGTGTTGTTATTCATTGAATATCTACTCGTCTACTCACGGAGTTTTCTTTGTGAACTATTCACGGAGTTTTCTTTGTGATTGTGACCTACTCTGAGTCTCTGACTTTCCGAGTGATGATTTCCTATTCCTTCCCGCTACCTTCTTCAAATCCCACACAGTAGGTGGGGACAGTTCGCGAGAAGGGGTAGTCGCTTAATAACGACATGCCCCATGAAGCTTCGCAGAAGTCGCAAATTGGATGTTCTATTGCCAGCCAACCACCAATATATGCTGAAGATTGGCGTTCAGGTCCACATGTCGGCAGTTAAGGGTTAGGATGAAGATGCCCGTGGCTCTCTCGTTTTTTTGTTTTTGTTTTCTTACGAATACGTCCAGTGGGGCCTGCTCCACTACTCACCAAATGCACAAAAGACATAGCATATGGCGGTGTATGGTTCCATGTTTCAGCAGAAGATTCATTCTACTAATATTATATACATTTGGTGAGTGGTGGAGGGAGGCCCTGAGAATCACGTGGAGACACGAACAGGGTCTAGCTGAATTGGTGACCCATAACTGCTGAGCTACAGCCCTGAACTCGAATCCACAGCATATATTGGTGGTCTGCCCACATCTCTCCCACACGTGACGAGGCCATCCTTCTCATTTAAGCTGGCCCTTAATGGCTCCACATGTATTGTAGGAGCCATTCGAGGTACCTGCAGGGGGCCTCGAATTGACGAGAAGGGGACCCTTTGTTGTCTCTCTCTTATCTCTCTCTCTCTCTCTCTCTCTCTCTCTCTCTCTCTTTTTTTTTTTTTTTTTTTTTTTTTTTTTTTTTTTTTTTTTTTTTTTTTTTTTTTTTTTTTTTTTTTTTCTTTTTTTTTTTTTTTTTTTTTTTTTTTTTTTTTTTTTTTGCGCACAGTGCGCGACTCCCTCAGCACGCGCACTGCGTACTGCGCACAGCGCACGGCGCACAGTGCACGCGCTGTCGTTCCAGGGCACAGCGCAGTGCGCCCCGCCCCGCCCCGCACTGCGCACTGGTGCGCCGCAACTATGATAAAAAGCTTTTTGAAACATGTATTACTAAACATGACTTTGAAAAGAAAAGATCGATTCAGAATTAGATAGATACTACGGTATTACTACCGTCTTCACCAAATAGAATGCCCCATCATTAGCTCAGTTGGTACACCACCGAACTGTTGAAAAACAGACCTCAGCTCGAACTCCACTTGAAGCAGATGAGTAAAATACAGCAATTCTGAATTACCTAGGGCCGGTCAGTTCAAATGATGATATCTCAAGACCGTTGCCCTTTCTTAAAGGAACAAAAGAAAAAGAAAGAAAAAGAGGAAGAAGAGGAGGAGGGGAGGGGGGGGGGGGAGAGAAAGAATGCCCCGTCATTACAGCTGTATTTGGGGGAACTTTCAGTCTAGACTCTAGATACGGCTATAATGACCACGTCTGGTAATTATAGCTGTATTTGGGTCAACTTTCAGCCCAAATACAGTGATAATGACCGGGCGTTATATTCGGGGGAAGCCGGTAGGTCATTTTTATCAAGTGTAATGACCTGCCAAACACGGACTGAGACACACAGCTGATTTCTGAGTTTTGCTCATGGAATGTATGCCTTTCTGAGTTTCCCGCCTGTTGCTGAGGTTTCTAAGTCTGTGTGTGTGCATGCTTGCTGGTCTGCATGCCTGTCTGTCGGCTTGAGTGTGTGTGTGACCCGCAAGGGCACTTGTTCGTTCAGAAGGCCCAAAGGGCCGGTACTTACCTGCGGCCGTGACATTGAGGGTTGCAGCGGGGAAAACACTCAAGTGGCGGGGAAAGAGGCCCGCGACACTTAGAGCAAACACTTAAGTAACAGGTACGCCGGTACCACACCAAGTAGAGGTAGATGTGCCGGGTACTCGAGGCCGAGCAGAAGAAGACAAAAGGTGGCATTTTTTAGAGGCCCAGTAGTTGTAGGCTAGGTCTAGGCGGGTACCAGTCCAACCAGTCTGAGTCTAGGGCCTGTACGGGCAATACCAAAGGGAGGGAGGTACCGGTTGCTTGGAGGCCGCGCGGCCTACCGTCTTCCCCCGAACATAACGCACCCTCATTTCTCCTGTACCGGACAGGAAAGATGGCTTCTATACATTCATTATTAGGGTGCGTTATGTTACGTTCGGGGGAAGACGGTAGTAAGTCACTCGCCAGGAGGCAAGCAGGCCGCTATATCTCCAGGAGGAGCAAAGTGCTCCTCCTCATTGTCGATGTGCAAGTTTGGCGACACACTGGTTGGAGCGCCGGCTGGAGTAGCGCTAGCACTCAGACCAGCGCTGCTGGGGAAGGAGCAAGGACCAAGAGAGGAGGACAAGGACGAGGAAGAGGGAGAGCGCCAGAGGTACTTACCCGGCTATGGTGGATGCCATCTTCATCACCTTGGTGGGCGCTACATCTGGAAGGCCCCAGTTGGGGTAGAGCTACACCAAGAAGCGTTGAGGCAGAGTCAGGCATCGTAGCCTGAGCTAGAGCAGCCATAGCTGCTTTGTGTGGTCCTTTGCAAAGCAGGGCGATGCGCTGTAGTCCACCATAGCCTCGGCCGTGGAAGGAGGAGGAAGAAGGGTGGCCATGGCTATGGTGGACCTCGTGTGATACCTGAGGTAGAAGAGGGATTCGGACATTGATTCTGGTTGCAGCCATTCAACATTACTGTTAATATTACTTCTTGTTTGAATAAGAGGGGAGGAGATAAGGAGGAGGAGAGTGTTGATGCTATCTCCTGATAACGCCCAGACAGAAGAATGACCTCTTTGCTAAATAATGACTGCAGGATGAGAAAGACATCAAAATCAAAATCAAAATCAAAATCGAAATCAAAATCGAAATCAAAATCGAAATCAAAATCAAAATCGAAATCAAAATCAAAATCAAAATCAAAATCACAATGTGGACTCACCTTGAGCTCGTTCATTGCAATGCCATCGGCCGGGACCTTCCGAAAGACCTGTGCCTCTGGCGAGCCATCCGCAGCATAGCTCTCTCCTTCCTCCGTTACCGTGCATCGTTTGCAGTCTTGTTCCTGCTCACACAAACATAAAGCACAAGCCCACACCAGGCACAGATCAACAACAACCCGAAGTTGTATTCCTGCTTTAGGTATAGACATGGAGATTACACTAATGGAGAATAGACAAGTGAAGAGTAGACAACTGGAGAATGGGCAGGACAGCAGATTGAGTAGAATAGACAAGTGGAGAATAGACCGGAAATCCAAGTCCTAGACTAGTGGTGAATAGAAAACTATGGAGTGGAGAATAGACCGGAAATCCAAGTCCTAGACTAGTGGTGAATAGAAAACTATGGAGATTAGACTAGTGGAGAATAGACAACTATTGAGATTAGACTAGTGGAGAATAGACAACTATGGAGATTAGACTAGTGGAGAATAGACAACTATGGAGATTAGACAACTATGGAGAATAGACTAGTGGAGAATAGATAAGTATGGAGATTAGACAACTATGGAGATTAGACTAGTGGAGAATAGACAACTGGGGAACACAGTGAACAGCAGACTCGAGATTAGACTAGGCGGATAGACAGAAGATTCCAGTCCTGAATTCGGTAAAGACATGGAGATTAGACTAGTGGAGAACAGACACTAGAAGAATAGACAGGACAGAGGACTGGAGAGAAAACTTGGAGAATAGACCGGAGATTCCAGTCCTTAATTGGGTACAGACATGGAAAATAGGCTACCAGTGGAGAGTAGACGTGGAAAGTAGACCGGAGATTCCACCCCTGAATTGATTGAGTACCGACATGGACAACTTGAGAATAGACAGGACAGTAGACTCGAGAGTAGACTAGGAGGATAGACACAAGATTCCGCTCCTGAATTGGGTAAAGACATGCAGATTAGACTAGTGGCGAATAGACACTAGAAGAATAGACAGGACAGCGGACTGGAGAGAAGACTTGGAAAATAGACCGGAGATTCCAGCCCTTGGAAAATAGACCGAATAGACACTAGAAGAATAGACAGGACAGCGGACAGGACAGCGGACTGGAGAGAAGACTTGGTACAGACACGGAAAATAGGCTACCAGTGGACAATACCCAACTGGACAGGAGACCTGGAAAGTAGACCGAAGACTCCACCCCCGAATTGAGTACAGACATGGAGATAAACCAGTGGAGAATAGACCACTTGAGAATAGACAACTTGAGAATAGACAGGACGGCAGACTTGAGAGTAGACTAGCAGGATAGACAAGAAGATTCCACCGCTGAATTGAGTCAAAGATCTCTCGATGATGGAGATGGGACTAGTGGAGAAAGACAACGGGAGAATAAAGTGGAAGCAGTAGACCGGAGATTCCAGTCCTTCTTTGGGTATAGATCGAACTGGACATTCAAATGGAGATCACAACGATAAAACTTTAAAATGGGTATCAAAGTGGAGATTAAACAACCAGTTCACCAGAGCCCAGGTTGAGCTCTCTTACCAGTATATACACGGACAGAGCTTCTCGATTTCGGGACTGGCCCGCTAGTGAAGGCGGGAGGCCACTATGAAAAGTCCCAGCTGGATTTTAACAATTCAGGGGTGTACCACCTGAGCTACCGTCGTGACCCGAATAAAACGTCCGGTCATTACGGCTGCATCTGGACTGAAAGTTGCCCCAAATACGGCTATAATGACCGGGCGTTCTATTCGGGTGAAGACGGTAGGACAGACCCTAGTGCGAAATCCACTGGAAACAGATGAGTGAAACACCAAAATTGACAATTTTGAATTACCTAGGGCCGGTCAGTTCCATCATGATATCTCAAGGCCGTAACCTTTCACAAGAATGAAAAATAAAATAAAATGAAAAATGAAAAATAAAAGAAGTCACAGTTGAAAGGCCCGCGCGGCTTGGGAGGTAGCCACATCTCACGCAACTCATCGAGAACTGGTATCTATTTAAAATTTAAAAAAAAAAAAAAAAAAACAGATCTCTCTTTGTGTCTGCCACCATCCATGCGACACTCCAGTGCCTTATTGATACACGATGGTGCTAGACTATCACGCAGAGCTACTCCTCCTCCTCCTCCTCCTCCCGTCGCTTCCCTTTCTCCCTCTCTTCCTCTTTTCTTCCGTCTATTTCGTCTGAAAGACACAGATCACCTCTTCCTCCCATCTCTTCGCTACCTTCTTGTTTCCACAAAACAAACTTCTTTCTCGCCCCCTTCTCCTCCTCTACCTCCTCTTCCCTCTTCCTCTACCTCCTCCTCCTCTTCCTCAACCACCTCCTCCTCCTCCTCCTCCTCCTCCTCCTCCTCCTCCTCCTCTCAGATCCTCGTCTTACTACGCTCACCTTCCTCCTTGTGCCTTCGTCAATGCAAAGCCCTATCCGTCCGTTTATCCCCTTCCTCCTCCTCCTCCTCCTCCTCCTCCTCCTCCTCCTCCCTCTCCTCATCATAATCCTTTCCCCCCCTTCTCATCACTCTCCTCGTCATCATCACTCTCTTCATCGTCGTCATCCTCCTCATCATCGTCCTCCTCCTCCTCCTCCTCCCCCTCTTCATCCTTCTCCTCCTCCTCATAATCATCCTCTTCATCCTTTTCCGCATTATCATATTCACCCTCCTCGTCTTCATCCTCCACCTCTTCATCCTTCTCCTCATCATCATCCGGACTACATTCTCCTCATCCTTCTCCTCCTCCTCATCATCATCAAATCGCTGGTAATGCCTGGTTATATCCCCTTTTCCTCGTGGCATCCTTATCCTTCGCCAACCTTTTCTTCTTCCTACCGTCTTTTCCCCCTACACAAGGCCATTCTAGCTGTATCTGAGCAAACTTTCAGACTAGATACAGCGTTAATGACTGTGCATTCTGTTAGGGGGTTCTTCCTCTTCATAAATATTTACCATCATCGTCCTCATCATCAATTGCCCCATTGTTGTCACTCGCGGTCATCGTCGGTATCCCCTCCTTCCACTTCCGCAGAAGAAGCTTACAACTCATCAACTTCCTTCCTCTGGCCTACCCCTGTCAATCTCCCTTCCCCCCC